AGTCATCCTTGGTAAAATTAATTTATATGAATAAAGAAAGCAAATCAACTTATAAAAATTTTAATAGGGGCGCCTGGGTGGCTCAGTCAATTGAGCGTCCAACTTCGGCTCAGGTCATGATCTCGCGGTCTGTGAGTTCCAGCCCCTTGCCGGGCTCTGTGCCTGGGACGTGCTTCAGTTTCTATCTCCCTCTCTCTCTGTCTCTCTCTGCCCCTCCCCCACTCATGCTCTGTCTCCGTCTCTGTCTCTCTCTTTCTCTCTCTCTCTCAAAAATAAGTAAACATTAAAAAACATTTTAAGGTTTGACAAATGGTTGTTCAGGCGGTACATAAAGTGAAAATGCAGAGGTTCACACACACATGCATCCCTGCATGAAGGTCGCCCTGAGTGAGAGAGGCCCTGTCATTAGTGCTGCTAAGTCCTTGGGTGATGAGATCGCGGGTATTGTTGTCTTTGTCACTAACATCCTGTGTAACTGGGAGAAAATCACTTTTTTATTTCTCAGTTTACTCACCTGTAAAAAGAAGAGAATAAAATGGGATCATAAAAATAAATGATTTCATCTCCCAGATACAAATTTCTTTTCCTGGTCACACAGTATGCAAATAACATTGCTGAGAAGGAACCCAGAGGGGATCATCCTTTTTATATTACAGATCAGAGAATTGCCAGGTATAGAGTTTCAATGACTTGCCCAAGGTCACAATGAAATTTAATGTCAAATCCAAGACCAAAACACAGGTCACCCCACTTCCTGGTGATCTGTTTCTCCCCCTAATTCTGATACTTTCCACTCCTATATACTCCCTTCCCCAGGGAAACTTCTGTCAAAAGAGTTATGTGTTATTTACAAAGCACAAGTAAACACACACACACACACACACACACGTACATGCACACAGAGACACAATATGAAAACATCTTAAAATAACAGAGAAGCAAATAAGAAAAGAATAAAAGCAATATTGGATCTCAGAGTGTTAACACTGTTGGGTAGGAAAGAAATGTACCTGAAAGCTGAGAAAACATGTTACAGGGCTTTCCACAATGTTGTAATTCTCTTCTCGTTCTTTATTCAGGTTAGATACAAGCAGCCAGGAGCTGGGGTGGGGGGTGAAGGGGGATCTCACAAGTTTTAGGGGAGGATTAGGATATAGGGGGGTAACTCATTCATTCATTCATCTCTGGCTACTACATATGTACAATAGAATCTGCTTAAATGCAGACCAGATCCGATCACCTCTCCACGCTCTGTGGATTGTGGTGGGAGAGAAAGCTTCAGCATGATTCCAAGAAGGAGAATAGTTAACCATATTGTTTAAAAGGGATTCTTAAACCCTTGTAAAGACCATTTTATTTATTTTTTTTTAAAGGATTTTGCTTTAGACATAGATCTTCATTGGCAAATATTCCTTTTTAAATTTTTTTTTTCAACGTTTATTTTATTTTTGGGAGGACAGAGAGAGACCGAGCATGAACGGGGGAGGGGCAGAGAGAGAGGGAGACACAGAATCGGAAACAGGCTCCAGGCTCTGAGCCATCAGCCCAGAGCCCGACGCGGGGCTCAAACTCACGGACCGCGAGATGGTGACCTGGCTGAAGTTGGACGCTTAACCGACTGCGCCACCCAGGCGCCCCAAGACCATTTTATTTAGCAGAGCAATTTCATATAGGATCTAGTAACTGCAATGATACAGTGCAATGCTTTTCTCATTTAAAAAATAATCCTACCCCTCTTCTTTGGAAATATGTTGAACATTTTTATAACTGATCTGGTTAGAGGCAGATTTGCCAGGTATACAGATGAACCAAGGTGCACAGAATCAGATAATTTTAACCAAAATTCCCAATGAAATATAAAATGGGTAGGTATAATGCCCTTCACTTAAAAATAAATAAATTTGATAGATATAGATATGAATAGAGATAGAAACAGAGATAGAGAGACGGAGATGATAGAGATAGAGACAGATTTGCAGCAATTAAAAAAGATCTGGAGAAACAGTAGCTCGTGTGGGAAAAGATGTCAATGAATCAAAAGCTCAATGTGAGCCAGTGGTAAGATGCGGGTGCTGGAGAGAAGAAAAATCTTAATGCAACATTAAAATACAACACTAAATTACATTATGCACAGTGATGGCCCTCTCTGCTCTCCCCACAAGCCAGTACCAAAGCCTGGTGCATTGTGGGAAGCACACTTTCAGAGGAGCTGAAATTGGCGTCTGGCCAGAGGGCAGTAATAAGTCAGTGGGAAAAGGGAAAGGGGCTGTAACCTGAGACAAGTGAGGAATGGTTCATGGCATGGGTTCCAGGGCCAAGCAAGCTTTCTCCAAAATAAGATGCGGAACTGTCCTGGAATGCATGTGCCCCCGTCCATCTCCCAGGAATGTTGTTGAAAGGGTGCTGCCTGGGAGGTTGGACCCATCCACAACATCCCTCCCTGTTTGGGGATTTTACGGTTTGTGGTGGGAACCAAATCACATCTATTCTACACGGTCATGGATTAGGTCACTTCATTTCCTTCCCGGAGAAGAATATTCTAGAACGGAGTGCATTTTGGCAACCAACCAAGCTCCTAAAAGAAAATAAGATGTACCGATGTGTAGATGACCTTGGTGACTAGAAGATGAAATGTTGACACAACTCATTCCCAACCCACTACGCTATCAACCATCTGGTCGGACCGAAAAGCTAGAAATTAAGGACCCAGGGTCTGACAGTAAAATCTAAGCCTATGGCTAGATCTTCTTGAATGTTCCCACATCTCAGAACAAGAGTGAACCTCCTGTATCAGGATAGCCTGAATGGCCCATCCAAGAAATGTAGGTACCAGGGGTGTCTCCCAGACGTCCTGAGTTAGAATTATTGGAGCAGGAACCAGAAGGTTCATTTGCAGCAAGTTCTTTTGAACTTGAAAGGTGATTCTTTGGCACATTTTCTGAGAACCATGGTTTCAGACTAGTGTTTATCATGCTTTAGTGTGCATTAGAATCACCTGGAGAGCAAGGCAAAAACTAGGGCTCCGGGACTCCGGAGATTCTGATTCAGAGGTCTCAGGTGGGCCCCAGAATTTGCGTTTCAGACAATTTCACAGGTAAGGCTGACGTGGCGGGTCCAGTGGGTGGACCATACTCGGAGTTCACTGCCTTAGGGAATTCCTGATTTCGTTATCAAATAGCTCAGATACTGTGGTAGGCAGCTTCTGGAAGGCCCCCAGTGATTCCTTGCCTCCTGGAAGTCACGCCCTTGGTATATATATCCCTCCCTTTTTGTGTGGGCTATAGACCTAGCGACTCCCTTATAATGAATAGACCAGGCAAAACTAATTGGATGTCACTTCTGAGGTGAGCTTATGAGAAGACTCCCTTCTCTCACTCGGTTCTCACTGTCTTGCTCTCTGATGAAGCAGGCTGCCATGCTGTGAGCTGTCCTGTGGAGAGGTCACATGGAAGGGAACCGGGGGCAGCCTCCCGGCCAACAGCGAGCAAGGAACTGACCCCTGCCAACAGCGGTGTGAGTGAATTGGGAAGCGGAGCCCTCTGCCAGCGAAGCTGGAGAAGACAGCAGCTGATGCCTTCGTTGTAGCCTTGTGAGCCACCAGCTAAGCCACACTCCAGGTCCTGATTCCTATAGAAACTGTAGGATGATGGATGTTTCAAGCCACCGTATGTGTTTTATGCAGTGATAGACAACTCATAGAGATGCTTTGTCAAGGAGCTACCCCGAAATCCATACGACACCTTGGTATTTAACCCATCCTTCAAGCCTCCCATCTCATCTCTCTCTATTAGAAAGGAGACTGATGTGTATACATGTAGATGAGCAATATTTAATAATATACACTCTTCTGAAGGAATTTACGTCATCGTCTTCTTAGTGTTCAATGTTTAAGCCTTGGCCCTTGGGGAGGCTCCCGGAGTTTCCAGGCGGTTACGGAGGAGCAGAGCATCGGGCAGGAGGGAGAGGTGGATCCGCATCAGACCCCAGGCCCTGTGTG